GTAAAGGTAAAGGTAAAGGCCCTCCCGTTGATCGTCGATTTGCTCGAGCGGGCCCAGTAACGTCTCCATTGGAGACTTTGTTGTTACTGTGTCTGGCATATCGAATACGTCATGGGGAGCTTGCCAGGCTCTGCCGTGCAGGCGAGATACTCTTGGTAGCTTGCCGGGCTCTCCGAGAGGGGCGGAGGAATCGAACTCGGGTCGGCCAACATGGTCGGCCGCTTGTAAGGCGAACGCCCTACCGCTGTGCTATCGCTCCAGCCCAGGTCACAGAATAGTATAATTATATTTGCAAGTTGCTATTATCCACTGGATCAGGGATTCTCCAGCTATCAAGAGTCAGTTATTTGTACAGCCTCATCACCTGGTTAAATGCTGGCTACAATGGCACTAAATAAATGGGTGTGTATGAATGAAAGTTTTTGCCTCGAACAGGGGGCCTGAATCAAATAAATGGCATTTTATGGGTATTTTCTGAGAATTCTTGCAGCATCTAATTTTAACAACTGCAGGGATAATTGCTTTATAACTAAAGCAACTAGAAAAAAAATAAATCAAACCAAAAGTTAGTAAAAAGGAAACTTAAGAGGAAGGAAATCATAAAAATCAGTGTGGAACTAAATAAAATGAAAACCAAGAAAAAAATTAAAAAGGTCATGAAACTGAGAGCTGGTTTTCAAAAGATAACTAAAATCAGCCTGTTTCTTTTTTTGTTTTTATTTTTGTTTGGGGACCATATCCAGCGGTGCTTAGGGGTTTCTTCTGGCTTGGAGCTCAGGGATCACTCCTGGCAGTGCTTAGGGGATCATATGGAATGCCTGCTCAAATCTGGGTAGGCCCCTTGCAAAGCAAGCCCTTACCCACTGTACTATCTCTCTGGCCCCCATATCAGTCTATTTCAATCGGTCAACCATTAGCAAGGCTTATAAAAAGAGAGAAAGCTAATAAACAGAATTAGAAACAAAAAGAGAAATAACAACAGGTAACACAGAAATACAAAGAATTATAAATAATAGCTATTATGAGCAACTATATGCTAACAAATTTGATTAACTAGAAGCAGATACATTTTTAGTTAAATGTAATCTACCAAGATTGGAACAAGAAGAAATAGGAAAAGCTGAATATTGATCTCAAGTATGGACACTGAAACAAATGATGTCCCTAAAACAAAGGTTCCAGAAAAAATGGCTTTACCTGTGAATTTCACCAAAACTTAAAAGAAGAACTTAAACCTACTCTCCTCAAACTCTTTCAAAATAGATCAATGAAGAGATTATATTTCCAAATGTATATATTTAAAGCCAAAACTACTGTAATATGAAAACTAAATAAGGACAGGGCTAGAGCTATAGTACAGCAGGTAGGGTACTTTCCTTGCATGTATCTGATCCAGGTTCTATCCCCGACATCCCACGTGGGCCCCCAAGCTCCACCAGGAGTAATTCCTGAGTGCAGAGTCAGGAGTAATCCTTGAGTATCACCAGGGATTACTGGTGTGACCCCCAAAAAACAAACAAGCAGGGGAAAAAAAACTAACAAAATAAGATCATCACAAAAACAAAAAGTTACATACATATTAGTGATGAACATAGTTGTTAAAAAGTCTCAAGAAAACACTACAAATTAAATTAAATTCAACAATGCATAAAAAGGATCATAAGTCATATTTATATGGCTTTTTCCAGGTACACAAGGATGTTGAAATATATAAATCAATCAATGTATAACACTCTAAGTAAAAAGAAAAGACAAAAATCACATTTTTTTTGTTTGTTTGTTTTTTTGTTTTGATTTTGGTTTTGGTTTTGGTTTTGGTTTTTGACCAAACACAGTAACGCTCAGGTGTTAGTTCCTTCTGGCTGTGCACTCCTGGCAGCGCTGGAGAACTTATGGATGCTGGGGATCAAGGCCAGGTTGGCCGTGTGCAAGGCAAGTGCCCTGCCTACTATACTCCGGCCACAAATCACGTGATCTTTCTCAAAAGATGTTGAAAAGCATTTGATACAATACATTCATTTATGATTTTTAATAATAATTTGAGTAAAGATAATTTTTCAAAAACAAACTAAGTAAATTTCTTCCTCAATCTGAATAAATTGAGGATAGAAGGAACATATCTCAGCATAATCAATGTCATATTCTAAGCCCATGGCTAACATCAGAGTCTGTGTTGCAAAATTGAAATTTTTTTCTTTAAAATTATGAATGAGGGGCCAGCAGATAGAATACTTGCTTTGTAGGTAGAATACTTGCTTTATAGGTAGAATACTTGCTTTGCATGCAGCAGTTCTGGATTTGGTCCCTGAGCCCTGCCAGGAGGTGACTCCTAAGCACAGAGCCAGATGTCAGCCTTGAGCACTGCTGGGTGTGGTCCCAAAGTCAAAAATTAATTAACTTAATTAAGTGATGACTGAGATTAGTTTGTCTGTTTTCACCACTTATCTTTAGTTTAGTGTTAGAGGTTTTAGCCAATTAATTAGACAAAAATAATAATAATTTATTTCAGAGAAGAATTGAAACATTATTTGCAGGTGATACTATATATAACACACATATGTATGTATATACACATATATACATATATACATTATGCGTATATATAACAAAAACTCAATCCAAAAAATTATTGAAACAATGAGCACAGCAAAATGTCTGGTTATAAAATTAATATGCAAAAGCTGTTGTACTCAGTTATGCAGATAATGAAATGAGTAAATTAAATCCCATTTATAATTGCATTCAAAAATTAAAGGAATAAATGTAATAAATGAGGTTTTTCTTAAATAAAAAGTCTGTATAGGGGACCAGAGATATAGTTCAAAAACAACAGAAAGACTATATAACAAAAATTGCAGGACATAGAACAGGTGTCGGAGATGGAAAGACATTTCATATGCATTGATAGAATGAATATATAGTCCAGATGTCTGTTCTGCCAAGGTAATATTGCAACTTAATGCAACCCTAGTCAAAACGCCTGTGACATGAATACATATAATAGGAATAGGTATTAAACATACATATTACAATTTCTAATTTAAGGTGTTGCTATTCAAGGAACCAGATGGTTTTAGAATTGAAATTCTTTGTTTTACTGATTAAAAAGACAATCCTTTTAAGAGATGAGTCATTTTCCTTAGTGGAAGGAATACTGGAATTGAAGTAAAATAATAAAGGGTAGAATTCTTGTCTCTGGGCTGTCATAGTCTCTGTGATCATGAGCTCTGTGATTGTGAGCTTGATGCTATTTTCAAGGTTAGGTTTCTCATTTGACCATTTTTATTAAAAATCCATCTCAGGGACAAGGAGCTAGCTCAAGTGGTGGAGCATATTCCTATTCCTAGCATGTGCCAGGCCCTGAGTTTGATTCCCCAGCACCACGTACCCCCTGAGCAACACTGAGTATAGAGCTGTAAAAAAAAAAAAAAAAAAAAAAAAAAAAAACACTTCTGTCTCAGGCTGGAGACAGGGGTTAAGGTACTGGTCTTGAACTCTGCTCAACCCAGTTTGATCTCTGGTACTGCATAGGGTCCCTGGAGTACAGATAAGAATGATCCCCGAGCACAGAGCCAGGAATAGCCCTTGAGCACCAGCAGGTTGGTCTCCCTGAAACAAATACAACAAAATTCCATTCAGCAAGAAATGGCAAGGGATCAGCTGAGGTCATGTGAACCAGGTATCAGCTCTGCACCAAGCAAATCCTCAGTGACCTATACTCATGGACTTTGCCTAAATCACAGCATCTAAGGTGAAATTAGAAGTCCTTGGGCCGTTGGTAGCCTGGATTGAGGCTTCCTGTGCACACCAAGAATATTGTGTTACATAAGCATTTTAATACAAGATTCAAGCTTTTTTACTTGAAAAATGATCTCCTTTTTAAGTCAGAGGTTTTATTACTGATGCTTTTTAAAAAAAAAAAAACTTGTTTTAAATATTTCTTGCGCTTGAGTTCAGGGAGCCTCCCAGTCAACCATCAACTATAATTGAAGTTTGTAGAGGTCTCTGAATCGGCACGTTTGTTTTTATAAAGCATTAGAACTCACACTAAAATATATAGACATTTTGGAGAAAGTAAATCTTTGTAACCTTGTAAGTCTTCCACTTAAAAAATTTAAACTACTCTCTGAAATAATTAGTAACATGCCTGCACTCAGTGGCTAGGGTTTGTGCTGGCTAAGACTCTAAGCACAGAGGTGTTGTCTCCGGAAAACATTTAGGTTTGCAGGTGTTAGATGCAGCGTTGTTTCCACTTCTTATTCAGTTCATTTGTCACTTTATTTTTTTAAAATTTATTTATTGAATAACCGTGAGAACAGTCACAAAGCCTTTCAGTTCAACTCTCGGTCGGTCATACATGATCAAACACCCGTCCCTTCACCAGTGCACATTTTCCACCACCAAGAACCCCAGTATACCACCTCTCCTACCCACCCCCTGCCTGTGTGACAGATTTCCACTTTACTCTCTCTGTACGTTGATCACATTCAATATTACGACAAAAGACCCAACATTATTATTTGGAATTTTCCCCAATATTCAGACCTACCAAAAAGACATCATTAGATAATTTGTTTTCTATTGCTGATTATGAAGAGCACATGATGTCGTGTGGCCACAATAGTGGCCACACTAATTTGGATTTCTGATATTTTAGTATTAAACCTAGAGGGATTATTGCCCAAAGCCCCTGGGTTCCGAGATTGGTTTGTGTGCCTCTGGGATCGTGGTCGTTCAGAAGCCAGAGGAGGCGTTTGAGGGTGGCAACCCGGAGCATTGTCATGGCGGGGAGCAGGGCCGATTCCACCCCCCATTCCACGAGGCCCCTCGTGCCTCGTCAATGCAGTCTCATACCTGGCTGTTTCTTAGGCTCTAAAAGATGCAGGCCACGGTGCCACTGCCTCAAGGAGGGACAGGCGGAGGGACATCATTTGTCACTTTAAAAGACAACTTATTTTTTTTTCTCTCTCTCTCTCTCTTTTTCCCCCGTTTCTATAAAGGCAGAAACCTGTGGGTTCTTGTTGTGGGTCGGTTTCCAAAGGAACACAGAATTGGGATTCCAGAGTTCAAGTACGTGGCAAATATGCACGGAGATGAGGTATGTATATGACTTTAATATTTGAAATGTCACCAGAGAAACTTCTTCTGAGGTATCTTGAGCTCTGCTTAAATGCCAGTAAAGCAGCATCCATCAGAGCCTAGAATGGGAAAAGGTCTTCCTGTGAGGCCTTTGGAGAGAATTTAAGGAACCAGCTGCAATAACCGTAGTAGCTATAAGGATGTTTACCTGGTGCCCTGAGACTGTAACCTGAGTCTTATTTGTGTTTAGGAACAGTGTGTACCCAAACTCTCAACTGCCAGTCAGGTCCTTGAGTGTTTTCCTGCGTTGATTTTCCCACCTTCAGGGCAGTACCACAGGTGACCCAGCAGAAGAGTTAATTGGTATTTGAACACAAAATAAAAGAATCCAAATAGCTACTTAATCTTCTAGCTGACTTTATTTATTTTTAAAAGTTGTGTGTTTGAGGGCTAGACCTCGGGTTGTTCCTGGCTCTACACTCAGGAATCACTCCTGGCGGTGCTTGGGGGACCATATGGGATGGCAGATGAACCTGGGTTGCCACCCTACCCACCGTTCTATCCCTCGGACCCTTCTAACTGGCTTCTAAACTGCTTTTGTCACTTAATCTAATGTTTATGTTCCATAACATAAAACCTTAAAAGTCTTATTGTTTTCAGTCCTCAAGTTTAGAAAAATAGGAGTCTCTCTTGCCCACCATTCAGCTATTTTACATTCCTTAATAACTCCTTCGCTCTTTTCCAACTGAGCAGGAATAAGCAGCTTTTATTTTGCTTAATTATGTTTTCTGTTAACTTTTTACTTTGTATGCAAGATACACTTTCTCTGCTCCTTTCTTGCCAAGCATTTGAGGATGACTCACCTTACTTCCCCGAGAGTACATAGGTGCCATGTTATCTGTTCAGGGGCCAGAGAGATAGTACAGTGGGTGAGGCACTTGCCTTGCACTCAGGCAGCAGGGTAGCCAGTATTCATAGTCCCCCACACTCTGCCAGAAGTGATTCCTGAGTACAGAGCCAGAAGTAACCCTTGATCATCACTGGGTATGACCCAAAACCCAAAAAGAAAAGAAAAAAGAAGTCATTTTCTGCTCACCAAAACCCCGATACAGCTGAGCAATAAAGCAGAATGAAAAGACAGTTCCCAGCCATCACTGAAAAATAAATTTAATAGGAATGTGTGCATCATCCTGTACAATGCACTTAACTTTGAGGACCAGTAAGGTGCATACAAACTGCGGACTTGTTTAAACATTTCTGCCGCTGCCATAGTGTGTGGGTGCAAGCTCTGTGGGACTGAGTTTTCTGTCCTAAGCTTCCTACTTCCCAAATTTGGGCTTTCTGGGAAAGGATGCCCCCTCCTGGTTCCTGGAACCTGCCTTTCAAGGGACCTGCATACCTTATCTTGAAGGAGGATGCTGCTGTTAGGTGGAGTGTAGCCCTGCACGTCTCTGAGGGGAATCAGTAGGTCTTAATCAATGGTGGGAAGAAGGGCCCCACTGCCTTTCTTTCTTTCTTCCTTCCTTTCTTTCTTTCTTTCTTTCTTTCTTTCTTTCTGTCTGTCTGTCTGTCTTAATGACTCTGGTTAAAAGAATTCCCGTTGGGCTCGAGATGTTGTTCAATGGTAAAGCAGTGGGCCCAAGGGCTGGAGCGATAGCACAGAGGGCTGGAGCGATAGCACAGCGGGTAGGGCGTTCGCCTTACAAGCAGCCAACATGGCCGACCCGAGTTTGATTCCTCCGCCCCTCTCGGAGAGCCCGGCAAGCTACCGAGAGTATTCGATATGCCAGACACAGTAACAACAAAGTCTCCAATGGAGACGTTACTGAAAAAATATATATATCAAAAATCAATGGAGAACTCCACACTGCTGGGATCAGGCCAGAGTAGTTTTTACTGAAACAACTGGCCCTTGCACATAGCAGCCGCAACTTCCTTTCCCTGTTGCTCTCAGGTCTATGGATCCCCATTCATGGGAGTCCAGTTTAATAAGAGACATATGGGACTCATTGACTTCAGCTGTTTATTTACTGGATTCCTGGCATTTCAGAGGCTGCAGCTTGCTGCTTAGAAGTAAACCCCCAGAACGGCAGCTTCTAGAGATAAGCCAGCATCCCTGCCTCACTCAGCTTGTGCATGGGCTCATTCCTTCCATGAACTCTCCCAAAGGCCCAGCAGCTTGCTCTCCGGGTGTTAGTGTATTCTGCGGACTCAGAATAGAAGCCTTGGTGTGTTTGGGACATGGGACCTGAAGCCCTTTCACCCTGAAGTCTCCCAGCAGGTAGCTATGTCCAGGCGTCTCTGAGCCTAGGAGAGACTTTCACTATGAATTTGAGATCTTGTGTTTGTTTTGTTCCACGTGTCTCTAGGAGCTGGGGAGGGCAGCGGTTTGCATCCAGAATTGGAGGGGTCACTGAGTAAAGGGTTTGACCCCCTCCTTCTTCTCTCAGATCTTTTAGAACTGAGTCTTTCAAGAAACTAGTATTGAGGCCGGCAAGATAAAGCAGAGGGTAAGGTGCTCGCCTTAAATGCAGCTGCTTCAGCTGCAACCTTGGTTTGATCTTGGGCATAACAGAGTCCCCAAGCACCAGCAGGAGTAAGCCCCGAGCACCGCTCGCCCCAAAACAAGCCAACAAACATTTCTTCTCCCTCCTGGGTCCTCCCCTGACCTCACCTAGTGCCAGAAAATGACAGGGTCATCACCAGCAGCAGGGGACCTGATTCTGTCCATTAGACCTGCCTTTCCCCTCCATGATTTTCTTCCTTGTCCCTGTGCCATGTTTAGAATCAGGTCTTTTTTTGTAAGTTTATTTTTGTTTGGAGGCCACACCCCAAAGTACTCAGTGCTGTGAGGTCACTCCCCCCAGTGCTCAGGGACCAAGGGGGCCTCCCATATGCAAAGCAAGCACTTCAGCCAACCACCCCAAAATTACAATTTATTGTAATTAAGGTAAATGTCTTTACAATGGTACTTACATCCATGATCTTATACACAGCCGTCTGAACCACAGCTCTGATCCTAGAGTCTTTTTTAAATTAAAAAGCATGATTTTTAAAATTTTATAAAAGGAAAAAGGGTCAGAGAGATAGTACAGCATTTAAAGTGCCTGCCTTATAGACGGCCAACCTGGATTTGATCCCCAGCATCCCATATGGTCCCCCGAGCACCGCCAGGAGTAATTCCTGAGTGCAAAGCCAGGAGTAACCCCTAAGCACTACTTAGTGTGTTCCAAAACAACAAAAAAAATGCCAAACACCCAAACAAAACCATGTTAATACGCAACAAAATAGTGCAAATGGCATCTCAGCATGGTTCATTTGGCAGAAGTGTATACATACATGCAGATATCTGGAAGGATAAAATAATAGGGAATTAACTGTCTTCATTTTGGGATGGTCAGTGTGCTGTGTTCTCTCCTAAAATGCATATTTTTCCCTTTAAAATGCACACATGTAGATTTTGTAATAATGACAGATTATTATTCATTTTGGACTGGAGCAATAGCACAGAGGGTAGGGCATTTGCCTTGCAAGCGGCCAACATGGCCGACCTGAGTTCGATTCCTCCACCCCTCTCAGAGAGCCCGGCAAGCTGCTGAGAGTATCTCGCCTGCACGGCAAAGCCTGGCAAGCTACCTGGGACGTATTCGATATGCCAAACACAGTAACATTTGTCACAATGGAGACGTTACTGAGCCTGCTCGAGCAAATCGATGAACAACAGGAGGACAGTGATAGTGACAGTGATTCTTCATTTTACTTATAAGTTTTTTTGTTTATTTTGGGGCCTCACATAGCTGTCTGCAAGACATGGGTGTGTTTTGGTGTTTGAATGACACCTATCTTGGGGGCTAACCCCCAGTATAGGGCTCAAAGTACGTGGGATTCCAAGGCTCTGACATATGAAGCACACCCTCTACTCTATAAGTCACCTGTGTGGTACAGCAGTTTTAAGTCAGTTGTTTAATAAAGAGATAAAATATGGTCTGTGGAATGGCCTGTATTCTGGGCTTTTTGTTTCCTCCTTTGAGGTATCATTGAACATTTAGTGCCTTTATTGATTTCAGATTGAGTTAGATCTCAAAACTTATTGGTTAAGATGAGGCCTTTTGACTAATGACATCATAGGAATTGTGAAGATGGCTTATTTTGGCTGATGCTAAGACCTTAGGCTAGTTAGTGCAACTATACACAAGAATATAAAAATGAAAGTAGCATGGTCAACCTAAAATAGCCCATTTATTATAGGTATTATAATAAAAGAAGTAAAATTAAACCTACTCTCCTGTATAAATTTTATTACTCTGACAGCAAACGCCCCATCCAGGCTGTACTTATGGCAGCTCCTGACGCAAGGTGCTGACACACCTAAGTCTTGTTTTGAACTGTCAGGGGGACTGCTTGTATTCTGGGCTTTTTGTTTCCTCTGCCCCTGAGGGGGACTCTGGCAGGGGACACAAATGCAAGTGTGTGGGAGTGGGTTTCTTCAACCCCCACCCTCTTCTCCCCCACATTTCACTGCTGACTCTTTGGTGAACTGTTTGTTAGCGCTTCACTGAGAGTTAAGGCCGTGCCGGAACTGGGAAGCCAGGTTCCCCAGGCCTAAATGTAGATGCAGAAAAGCCCGGAGAATGGCTGGACTCTCTCCACTCACTGGGGTGCCTGACACCAATGCCAGCTTTCTCTAATCAGTAGGGTAAAGAAGGGATGGAGCAATAGCACAGCAGGTAGGGCGTTTGCCTTGCATGTGGCTGACCCAGGTTCTGTTCCTCCTTCCCTCTTGGAGAGCCCGGCAAGCTACCGAGAGTATCACGCCTGCACGGCAGAGCCTGGCAAGCTCCCCTGGCCTATTCGATATGCCAAACACAGTAACAACAAGTCTCACAATGGAGACGTTACTGGTGCTCCTTCGAGCAAATCGATGAACAACAGGAGGACAGTGCCACAGTGCTACAGGATAAAGAAATCTTAGGCTTGGTGGGACTGGAAAGATGGAATGCAGCAGGAGAGCACTCACCT